GTTCATTTACACATTTTCATGAGGTTTTCAATTTTTAAAATAAATTTATTCATTTTACTTTCATGCCCAAAAAAGTATATTCGCCGACTCTATGTGCGGCCATTGTTAACGGTCGGTCTGGTAATACCGGAAACAAAACTGTTTTTTTGGCCTAAGCATGAAGCTGCAGCTGTGAAGCAGGTGTCTTGTTGGCATAGTACACAGATAAATATACAGTTTCAACAAGTTGATAACATTTACTTTTTCAAAGGGGTCTTTCGGTATAACAATAAAACAAATCGTTATTTCATGAAACTTCAGATGCAGCATGCAAAATTACGGTTCAAGGTCAACTCATATCATGGAAAGCATTTGACTGCGCAAGTAAAAGGCTTTCAGTTCGGCTCTTTCATTTTTTTCATGACTGTATTTTATATCACAGAAGTGAACTGGCTATGTGTATTGGATTGTCTAGCCGCATCGATATTTCTCACGCATATAAATTGGAAATTACTTTTTGAAAGCAAGTGCGCAATACCCACCTGTTCTTTAATGCAATCGTTGGCAATTTTTTGTTATAATTTCAAAATACTTTTTTCCTGGTTGTTTCATCACAGCTTTATGAATTTGGTTTTTTTTCTGCGGGAACGTGACGAAATCAGGCGTGGTGTGTGATCCAAGCAGAAATATGGTTTATCTCTTTTGGGCAGAAGTCAAAATTTACGGATTCACAAGAAAAGACACGAATTTCTGCAAATACAGTGATCAGATTTAAAGCTTTTTTTTTTTAATTAACATTGTAGTGAATGTTTGGTTAAGCCTCCTGCATATAAAAAGCCTTATTTGTTATGAACATGTCAAACAGACGAATCTTAAATTCGTCGCGAAAACCTTATCAATAAAAAAGTACTGGACTCAACAAAATGCTTGAGGAAAACACCGCCGGTTTTCCACTCAATTTTCAAGAAGATTATTTTCAGGGTTGAAGCTTATAATTTTCCTCACCAATTATACGCTTGGGCGTCATTTCTTAAGACGTCCATGGTATAAGTAATGGATTGCCACCTGCAAGCTAAATACCCATACCGGCTTATGCCCCGCTGATACTGGAAATACTAGCGTTTCATAGGGTGCATTCTACCCAAACCCGCGGCTTGTGAGATTCGATACGTGCTGAAGAAATTGAAAACTTGTCTCTCTGATGGATCAAGCCGATAGCAATAGTAACGCTGCAATCGGACACCAGATATTTAAGACACCTCTGTTTTTTTCTCAAAAGTTAGAATGGAGAGTTTAGAAGAATTTAGTCACTTCACGCTGTGTATATCGATCCGTAAACTCCTCCAAAGTTGTACAATGCGGAGCCTAAAATCACAGTTGTTATACCGTTTTCTGTGATTCCAACCGTTATGCTGATATTTGGAAAAGGAACTTATCAACTCACTTTCGAATTCAGCATATTACATCATACTTTCCATCGTGCAATAATTTTACTACACAAAAGGCTTGTAGTACAAAATTGATTTCAACGCGTAACCTATATCGTACCTTCCACGAATGATAAAATTAAGGGTATACCAATCAACATTACTATGATGCATCTTAAACAATATAAATATGGTTATACCAAGCCTTGCCGACAGCTAGAAACACCATCTGCAATTTTGTACTCTGCGATTGGCGACAAAACCTGGGCAATGTGTAAAAATCAATTGTCCGAACTTTCCTTCGGTCAGCACGCAACCTATCTATAGATTTTGCATCTGACCTTTTCATTAAAAGCTGATTGATTTTGATGCTGATGGGCGACACCTTTTTCCATTTTACCCCAAGAATTTAGATCTCGGTGAAATAAACGGTCCCCCATCCTGGCAAGAGCGGCATAAACTTTATTACTATCGATTCTCCGCTGATAAACTGTTCCTTCACCTAAATGTTTAAAAGTCTGGTTTCAGATTCCCCGACCCGGCCTATTTTGTAAATTTCACATCCGTGACACAATGTTCAGTCGAAAAAAGGGTGTATATATAAAGCAAAAGCAACCCATGGTAAGAACTAAGAACCCTTTTGAAAGGGTTACAGACACCCCAAAATAGTCTTTTACCACGTTCGTTAAAATAAAATCTTTAGGAGAAAACTTGATGACTTCATTTCACCGTTCTTTGTATCTCGCATATTCTCAACCTACATTCCATATCACCGTGACACAAAAATCAGTCTAAAACGTGTACCAAACTTTACTCATATTAAAAGACGTTCTTGTGGGCTAACAAATATTTAGGCTAGCTCTACAAATATCTAAAAAGAGTTCAGTTTGCAAGGAGCAGAAGAAAATTTCTTACTTCCAAAGATGAAATATTATCTCTCAGTGATTTCCTGCTACCTGCATGCTGCCTACGGCACATTAACTTTTTCACTGCACCTATTGGAAACGCCTCGCTTCGTATCGAGTTCAAGGTATGTCGTTTTACCTTTCTAGGTGGGTCAACATTTCAGCGCCAATGCTTTGTGATTCATGTCGAGAGCTTAATGGCCCGTTCTTCGCTGGTATGGTAATGACAATATGCGACGGTCCGTTACAGTAATGACCCATATTTCATCCCGATGGATGGATACTGAAACTCGGCATGTGCATTGAAAATGTCCAGACACTTCCAACACTACTCTGTAGTTCTACAACCTATTTGAAAAGAAAACGTACTTTCTTTCAAACAAAAGACTACACAATGAAGCTTCCGCTGTTTGACAATTATTTCTCGTTCACATTTTGAATTGTATCATTAAATTACCAGATTATCATTCTTTTTTGGGGGGGGGTTGCTTTTGATGGAATAAAACAGTAAACATGAATCTTGGGATTTTTGTTACAACGATTGATATGCTACGTCCAGCATTGACTTTTGTGCTTTATTATTCTCATTAAATTACCATTCACTTCAGGATGATAATTATATTATTAGCTGATACATTTTGTTGTAGTTGTTTATTAGGTAATGTATCAGTAAAACTGATTTGACAAAATGGAGGTTGATTGACGGGGCATCATTCAACAAAAGCCGTTTCCACGAATTTAAGTTTTGACCATTTCAACAGGTTTGTCAGGGCAATGCTTTCATGCAAGCTTTTTGTTTGTCCACCTGTATGGACTGAACGTGCATTTCCGTTCTCTCTCTGCCCGCGGACGATATGGCTTTACGGTTGAGTTACCCGAGATGTCATAATGGTGTATTATTCATAGCCATAAGCCCCAGCCCCAACATGCTAGGAATGATTGATGGCTAACTACTACACCCATTTACTAACTACTACACGCATGTGATGAGTGCGGCACAGTTTGAACATCATCCACATCCATACACTTCACGTCTGCATCAGGTTTGAAGATCACTTGTTCTGTTAATAATTAGCTCTCGATTTCCAATAAGATCTGAGCGAGAAATCTAACTCTCGCGAGAAATAAGCCAATTAGATATGTTCCTTTAAGACTTTCTAGGAGTTTTTAAGGGATAGGTATATGAAAAGTTTATGAAAATCCGTTGCGTTATCTCAATTTTTATAGTTGACAATTTACATAATCTTGAAGAGACAGGCACTTTGAGCACCCTACTTGGGGTGATAAAAAAATAATGGATTTGCCATTATCTAGCGAGAGTAATTTCAACAGCACTTCCATCCATAGTTAACGACAAATCATTATGCCTTAAGGAGCGGTTTCTTCCTGAAAATCTTTAATTGTGTGATCCATCATTCTCCACTCTGTAGAGAGCAATGCACGGTAAAAACAGCGGCATCGGTATATAATAGTGCACGACACGCTTCGTTGCATGACCAGAAAAAAAAAGAACCCTGCTCCTCTTGACCCAAGTGTGACCTCGAGTTATACCTGTGAAAATTGCTGTCTCAAATTGGAGTTGTAATTTTATTTAGTTACTTTTACGTTTAATTGCTTGTTGAAACAGTTAAAATCTATCTCTGACAAGGCCAACATCCAAGGCTTTCTGTTGATTAATTGCCAGAAGAAGCAAAGGGGGGAATTAATGCAGCATGCACGGTGTTTGAATATTGATGTGCAATTTTATCCGGGTCGCGCTTGTGTTCATTTCGTGGATGAGTAACCAATACTGTCTGTATCCCCAATCCCTTCGCACCGATGCCAACTCGAGATTGAAATGGTTCCGATGTCGAGCCATCCAATTACTGGCAATCGACCTCGAATCGTGTAGCACACGCGGTAAATATTTGCCCTCTCTCATTTTCTGACGATCACAAATTAAATACATCTGTTTATACAGGGAGATGGTTTCGCCAAAAGACAAAATGACACTGTGCAAACTTATCTTTTGTTAGTTTACTCTAGTTGATCACTTTCATCTATATCATCTGTCGGTCTAACTTTTATACGATTCCATTTTAAGTAATCTGTGTAACACTTGACAATGATTGGTTTGTTAACCAGTGCTGCTGTAATGTGCTCTTCACTCTACTATCGTGTGAGGGCGCCCTGCGCAAAAGTAACAGCCACATGGGCGAGGCATCCTTCATTCAAAATTAAGGTATCCGTGCACAATCACCCCTCAACGGTAACAAAAGTGAAACACAAAATGTCCCTATTGAAAGATACAGTATTATATACTGATATTTATCCGCAATGCTTATATTGTTTCGAAATTTGTTTCCCCCAAAATTGAAACTGTAACACATGCACATTATGTTTCAGACTGCGATTTATTTTCTATAGGGGCCTATCCCAATTTAAAGTTAATCTTTTTGGCGAAGTAAGCCACAGAAACTTAATATTTTACGGAAAATTAGCCTGACAAAATGAAGGAATGTTAGTAAATTTGATGAAACACCGTTATTTAAATACATTAGGTGCCGCTCCAAAATGTTTTGACAGAATGAAACAAACTACCTCAAATGTGAAGGAAAAAATCACGAGCTCTGCCCTAATTTGACTATTTTGCCAGAAAAAAGTACACAACTTAAATTATCCATGGAAAACGAGGGAAACGATATCTTACCTCCAAAATCTGATCCTCGTAGTTCAACACGGCTTGGACATTACCACCTCAGAAAGTTCAATCACACTACACGTAATGATGTCATTAATCAGTTGGCATACAAAGTATTTCCTGAGGACAGTTCTCGTTTTGTCACGGCTCCCTCTGTCGATGCATCTGTTGGGTTTCACAGTCAAAGGCTTTACAACCCGAAAATTAAATACGACGGGTTGGAGAAGTCAGGCTCAGGGATGATAAATTCATACAATTCCACGTCCAGTCTAGTTGTACTCCATCCATAAATATCCACGATTAGATGTGTGCTGGGCTTTTCTCAACGCTTAGTTAATCGTGTAGGTCCTTTCCAACTGTCTAGACAGTCCACTGCGAGCATCACAACCGTGGGCATGTCTGCAGCAAAGCTCAACTTTCCTGTGTAACAGTACACCAAAACAAAGCAGAAAACTAATGGTCAACTCACAACTCCGACACCTATTAAGCTAGTTCTTGGCAGCTTAATGTGTTGTAAACATGGTGAGACTAACGTGTTTCACTAATACCTCGTATATAGGCCATGCCTCGGAGGCCATAGCCATTGCAAAGGTTTAATGGCAACAATAGCAAAATAATCGTAACAATAAAAAGAATTTGACAGTCGTTCTCAATAGGCCTACTTTAATATGTGTGTGTTCAAACAAGTGGAGCACATTCTTTACAAAGCTTGTTGTTTACTCGCCTGGAAAAGACGTACATATCGATATCGTTCAAACATCGTACGTTTGGGTCAAGTGAAGATGGTATATCATAACGTTTAAAACCTTCATATTCCACTCTTCCGCGGGAAACTTGACGAAATTTGCATTGATATATGTTCCGACTTATCCCTCAATAAGGAAGAATAAACAAAGAGCAATTTCCAGTAACATTAGAGTATAGGTTAGCGGGGTTTAACTCACACAAAAGTATTATGGAGGCGTCATGCGCTGAAAACCACATGCCAAACACACGGGGTATGTTTTTGTCAATGTTTCGATTCGTTTCGTTTAAAATTCTGAACTCCAAACACTCAAAAGTTAACTTCAGTAGCTCAGCAATAATCTTTAATGAAAAACCATCATTATACTCACCAAATATCTAAAGCAGAGTCGTTTCAAGCTCACAATTTTGGTAAGAAAATTTTCGACGCGAGGAACACTTTCGGCCGACATTTTACAAAGTTCCGTCTCCATGCAAGAAATACGCATGCGCAGGGAAAAAAAAGCGCAATGCGTCTTTTGATTTCACAACAGGTGTTAGAACAATGGAACAAATATGCGGGTTTACGAAACTACGGCTTCGTCCCGCCTTCGGATTCCTCATGCTTAACATCGTTTAGAATGAGGCCTGCATCAAGTGGCGATACTCTATAATTGACCACATATTACATTTTTTGATGTTTGTGAAGCACAGCCTGTACCAATATGGGGTCACAGCCCCCCCCCCCCTCAAAAAAAGCTAGGGCCTTAAACCTTCTGAAGCCTAACCGGAGACGAAGCCGAGATTTTGATAACACCCACAGTTTGTGTTCCTGTGTCATATTCCACTGAACAAAGACCCGGATTGACATTATTTACTTATAAAACTTGGTGTACAAGAATGGCTTCTTCAGATTTTGTTTAAAAAAGTAGGCCCAAAAAAGACTAATTCCATATTAAGCCTCAGAGAATTTAACAGTTGATTTAAAACATTACTGATACAAGCCCCGCCCCCCCCCCAGGGTACCCGCCCACTCTAACATTACTCCACTGATTCACATGAATGAAACCACTAGTAACATTTTGTTAGTGCATGTTTTTACCTCATGATCAAATATTTTCAAACCTTTCAATTTTAACTGTTATGTCAAATTATTAAAAAGGGAAATGTAGGGCCTAAATGACATCAATAAATACAAAACAAAACAAAAATCGATTTCAGATCCAAAATTTCATGTAAAACACATCACAACCCTATGGGTTTAATATACATCATGCAGTTGTTCTTTTTTCGGTAAATATACATTAAATTTAGTTTGCATAAATATATAAAGTCATCTCAATAACAATGGAGGCAGCCGCTAAAATAATATCTCCATAAAATCAAAGCAATATTTCTTTAAAAACAACCATATTGTTCCCTTTACGCAGCTGAACATGACTCAATGAAAAATGTGACTACAACATAAGGGAAAGAAAATAACTATGTACATTTCAAAAAGGATAATCTTGAGCGGTGAAGCAGTTTCTGTGATGCAAGAAAATCAACCGAGAGGCTTTACTTTATCATCAGGGCGCCACCAACGTTAATTGTTTGCCAAGGTTTGGAGTATTAAAAAGTTCAGTAGAGTTAATAAAACTAGGAGCAGCATGACATTTATATGCATGCCTAAGTGGAAAGGTTATACAACTGAACTGTTTGGGTAACAACCAAAGATATTATAAGGTTTCAAGTGTTGCCAGTAATTACTTCCTTAATTCAATTTACAAATAGTTTACAATTCAGACGATTTTACATAAAAGTCTCATATTGTTACACAAAAGAATTGCTAGTTTATCGGCACAATATGGCTTAATTTATCATGCATTACAACCACTGTTCCATCGATTCGTGAATTTACTCTTGGATCTAAAATAAAATTGTATTATCTGTGATACTTTCTAAAGTACCTTTCGTCATGGATAATTTGTAATTAAATTAACCTACTATCTCAAGCTAAAAATAAAAAGGACTATAAGGAAGACTATAAGGAAGTCTAACTTCTAAAGTTCACCCCCTGTTAAGTATAAGCAATGAAATAAATATGTTTAAAATCTATGTAAAAACAAAGCTGTATGGAGAGTATATATTGTTTTGCTGACTATTAAGGCTTTAATATGTAATGGCCACTGGCGATTTTAATCTTAATTCTTAACAAACCCGTAACCCTTCACGATAGTTTATGGCATTGTGTTTTGCGCTTAATATAATTATATTACTCAAGACAGCGTTTCAATACAATAAAGAGCAATAAACACTTCAAGAAAATTGGAAAATTTTTAACAAAAAAATCCCAAGTAGCAGAAAAAACCTCTTAATTGATACAAGGCATGTATTATTGCTTTTCAAATTATCACATCCGAATTGCAGAATTTAAGTACATTTAAATAATTATGAAAGAACAAGTTTACAAAACAAACTAAAAAGAAAGCATACAAGCAAAGTGAGTCAACAGTTTAAGGGAAAAACCTATGCAGTCTCAGGTAAACAAGCTACTTTATAGGGTAAGCTATTAAAACAATGTGGGCCTTTATAAGTAACACATCACTTAAAAATAATATTATATTTTTGTTATATCAGGGGTTACTTTCATGGAGTCTAAACATTCACACAAGAAACTTTGGCTTAGCAAAACCACACAACTAACGAAAACAGCATGAGATATGAATTGCTTAACATTTTTTTTGCTAAGGAGCTTTATAAACTGGCTGAAAAGGTGTCATCTTTTATGAGCAAAGAATCATGCACCAAACTGGTGTATATAAATGATATCTCATATGAATTTTTTTTGTGGGCACATGGTGCTCTCTGGGTGTACATGTATTTCTTTGTGAAGTTAACAGAAAATTCGAAATCCCACTGGATTGTGAAATTACTGTCAAATATACTGACAGTTTCTAACTCAAAATATTAAGTAACAATGATGGACCATGATGGACAATAACAAGAAACTTTAAAAGCTTGGTTAACTAATAAAAGAAAAGTCCAGCGTAACAGAAAATACACATTTTTTTTTACATGACCAAAAAGCAGCTGAAATGTCTAAGCACAAACACAATACAATGTAAGCTATGACTATAGGTAGGTTCAGGATTTTTTCTCTCTCTATTCTCGATCTCCAGGGGAACATTTCTGGGAAAAAAATCTATTTAAAAATGTGTTCAATACTTATATTTTTAGTAATTCTGGTTGCACAACAGAGATAGTAGAATTTGGTTTAGGATACTGAAATGAGCATTCGGAATTTTTCAGTGAGAACAACTTTATCTTGTAAAAACAAAGACAGAAGTTAAATATTCAGAAAGTCCAGTTATTCAGAAAGTCCAGTAATTTAAGAAAAGACAGTGCAGTTACGAAAGATGGAATAAAACCTCACTTTTGAGGGAAGATGAAAAATGTTAGGATTGAACACAACACCTGCCTCCTTATTGCTGTTACACACCAAGTCTTTTATAAACAAAATATCTGCGATTAAGTTCCAAGTCTCTGATTATGCCTCAAACAAAAACTTCTCTCACTCAAAGGTTTGATGTTACTCTTTGAATTTGATAGACTCTTTTACTGTTTAAGACAAAATTTATATAAATTGGAAAGAGTTATCTTCTGATATTGTTATCATCTTTACTCAAGTTGACGTTTTTTTACCAGCAATGTGACAAAAAAATATTCTCCTCTGAGGCATTGTTTCCAATGGGGTTGGATATAATTTGCGAATTCAGAATTTAGAATTTCTGAGGCAGTTTAAAATGCCTCTTTACTGCACAAGAAATGAAAATTCCATAAAGCCAGTCATGGTGGAAAATAGCCCCGAAACTTGTCGAAATTATTATTTTCATTCTCACATGAGTTCAATTATTCGAGAAATGTCCGGAAAAAAATCTCAAAGCAGCCTCCAAAATAAAAGAGGGAAATCTCTTTTGAATACAATTGCTGGAAACATTTTTCAACACAATTTCAGATGTTTCATTGTATTATTTTTTTTGTTTTAACAAAACTGAGGTTCACATTTCACCTAAAGACTGGTTTCTTACTTGTGCTGCTGCTGATTTTCCTTCCTGTGGTAGAGGGCGCTTTAGTATATTGCTTGGCAGCACTTTGAGACGATTTTCTCCCTAGAGACACAGTCCTTTTCACTTTTGCTGGAGAACGTGGTGCTTCATCCAGTGAAGGGGTACTCCCATCTGTGCCAGCCTCATGCGAAGAGTCCAGGCCTTTGTCCCCCTTACGTCCCAATTTGTGAATAATTTTACTCAGTGTCCCTTTGTTGGTTTTCTTTGCTATGTCACTGTCCATTATTCCACGCTTACGCATTTTCGGTGGGAGGGAGGCTGCAGTTTTCCCACGGCTGAACCTGCTACTGGAGTCGGACTCATCAGCTGAGTCTTCAGAGACCGATATCGGAACTGGTTTGAGGTTTGCGTAAAGGGATGAAGTGCGTGGCATGTGTCGGGCCTCGTTGCTTGCTATGCTTCCCTCCTCCTGGGCCGATGCGTCCTCTTGGGACACTTCCCCTAAGGAGAGAGAGCTGATGCTACGAGTCTCACTACCATCGCCACTCGCTTCTACATCCATCATGCCGGTATCCACCGTGCTGCTCTTAGAAACATCTGATGATGATGCCAGATTCGAAGAAATGCTGGAATGTAATTTTGAGCCTCGCATCCTGCTTGGTACAGTGCTTGAGGAGGCTGGTTCTAGCTCACTCAAGCCAAATGTGGCCGTACCCATTTTCATTGGGCTCTTTGTCACTTGTGTTGCCTGTGTGGTTCTTGGTGACTGGGTTCCAGCTCTGGAAGCTGGAAGAGTTTTGGATGGTGTACTTACAGGTTTTTTGGTCACTGACGGAGAGTGGAAGCTATTGGGTTTTTTAACCGGTGATACTCTTGATGGATCTGAAGAGGCAGGTTGATTTGTTTTTGACTGTCCAGCAGGCTTAGGTGAAGTTGATCTTTTTGCTGGTGACGAACCAGTCTTACTGTCTGTTCTTGCTTTGGCAGTGTCAGTAACTGTTTTGCTAGGTCCTACACGACCAGATGATCTCACTCCACTACTTGAAGGTGTTTTGTTGGTTGAGGGAAGCGTGCGCCGTTCTGGTGCTGAACGTACAAAGGGCCCTGTCCTTTTGACACTTGATCTTGGCGTAGGACTGGTAGCTTTCAAGGTTTTAGCAGATGTTGGTGATGTTCTAGAACCAGTGCTCTTGACACTACTAGTCGAGTTGGTGGATCTCATACTGGAAGAACGAGGTTTGGGATCAGATCGAGAGTCAGTGCTGCATGATGAGGCGGCAGAATTTGACCTGCTGATTCGTGTTGTCACTGTTTTGGTTCCTCTTGGAGAGCTCAGGTTTCTGCCATAGCCAGAGGACCTCATGGAAGAGTTGCTTGTAGTTGAGACAGTAGATGAGTTGCTTTGAGACGACTCGCGCCTTTGTCTGGTCTCTGAAGGTTCTGA